TTTTTTATTTTAATTTTACACGTGTCCTAAATCAATATCAGTAAGGATATTTTTTGTGGATCCAAAGTAATTTGCCTTGATAACTAATCTAGCTGGAACTTAACTCAACTCGGCTCATTAATATTAATTAAATTTAAACTCGAACTTGACAATAATTTTCTTAGTTATTATTTGTATTATTTAAATATAACAATAATATATTTATATATTATTTAATTTATAAAAAAAAATATTTATATTATTTACTATAATATAACTAATGCATTTATTTTGTTATGCAAATAAAGATAAATAAATCAAAACTTATTCAAACTCAAATTCGACTATTTCATTAACTAGCTCAAGTTTTAATTAAAATTTTATTTATTTGCTGACAAATCTGACTTTTAATAAGTAAAGTTTACAAACAGTTCCGTTCATATGATGTCTTTAATTTATGGGCACGCACCTTGAGGCCTGGGAGTCAGGACACACCAATTACTTCCAAAAAGTAGTTTTTCAAAAGAAAAATACTTGAAACTCTTATTTTTTTATTTTATTTTTTTTTATGAAAATTTTCATAATTTTTTTTAAATTTTTTATCATTGAATGTATGTATGCAGATCTATTTATATATGTGTGAAATCCACACCATCAATGATAAGATTTAAAAATAATTATGAAAATTTTCAAAAAAACAAAAAAAAATCTTAATCATTGTTGTTTCCAAAAAACTAGACAACCAACAAATCTCTGGTAGTGTTTGGGACCTTTGGATGAGCCCACATAAAATCATATACGTATAAAATTTAAATTATGAATGATTCAGATTTATAAAAATATTTTATAAAATTTATAAAAGTGGAAATCCCAATAATTGCTCCTACCAAAATAAATGATGAAATGGTCGTGGGTTAACTTAAGCTTGGCAGTAAATATAAGTGGGAGGACCATGGTGGCCACATGATCATATAAGTTTGGCAGTAGCAATCAATTTTAAAAAATGAATGGTCATGGCTTAGTCTCATCCATGATCTGCTGCCAATTTCACATCACCATCTACTTTAAAAATGTTTTTTGACACGTGAAATAAAGTTTATTGGTTCCAGAGATAGTATTATGATGGGTGTAAGGATTACAGATGATTAGTGGATCTGAAGACTATAATATTATACACATCAATTAATATAATTAATTAATGATATAATAAAATTTAAGAGATTTTTTTATTTATAATTTGTATAATAAGTATAATTATAATAATGTCATAACTAGTATTAGTACACCTAATTAGTGTATCGTTTAAGTTATTGCCGTTAGAGAAATTATAAATTTGATTTTGAGAATTTAAGTGATGTTTAGACTTGAATATTATTGTCACATTATTTTTTAAATGCATTTAATGATAATATTTCTAAGAAAGGTTAAAAGTCTTTAGGCACAAAGAAAATAATGTACAAATTAACAGAAGTTTGTTATTATGTGGTGTTTTAGAAATATGATAAAAAGTTGATTTTATTTTTTTTTTTCACTGTTTTAATAGAGAGATGATGTCATTTAAAATGAAATAAAAGCTGACTTTCTATTTTTTTTTTTGCCACAAAACATGATAAGTAATGAAACTTTATAATTTGAAAATGTGAGTTAAAAAAAAATATATATTAATTTGAAATAAATTATTATAGGCACAAAAGGCCCGATAACAAGCTCCAATAGATTCCTGTTAAAAAAAAAACAAAAAAAGTTCAAATAGATTCCTAGTAGAGAAAAAGACGACCTCAAATGCGCAAAATGCGCCAAAATGACTTATGGACCACCTAAGCTTGAAAGTGAGGTAACGAACATGAGGCTCAGGCCTACTGAGACCAACCACGTACAAGGAATAATATTTGAAAAATGATCCGACCCCTTCTCCCCCGCACCCCTTGACCCCTCTCCCTTTGATCAGCTAATTTTTTGCTTTTTTTATTTTTTTTTATTTTTTTTTCCTTTCGCCTCCGATCACCATCCACCACGTATGTGTGAGGTGATGGGGATTGTGATTGAAGAGAGGTCTCAATCACTTCCCTAATATTTTAGTTGATATATGTTAGTGTGGTGGTAGCGGATATATTGGTCTGTGTAATTGATTAAATCGAATCAATTCGTGTATTTTGAACGGTTGTGTGATGACGAGCGAATGATCACGGATTAATTTTTTTCAATCTGCTTAGTTTTAGAAAGATGAAGAATTTGAGTTTCATTTGACAGCAACCAAACAACCAAACCGCAAACCCCCTAATAATTTGTAGGACTTTGGGTTCGTTTGGGAAGTGGGTTGGCTTTTTGACTTTTTTTTTCTTTTTTAACTATTTTAAACTTGGGACTAAAAAGCCTCATTTGAAAAGGACTTTTTGGATTTTTGAATTTTTTTGTGAGAGAAAAAATGTAATGATTATAGGGTTGAATGTGATTTTTGTCTTATTAGCTAAAAAAACTATTTTATTTTTCAACAATGCTACATCTCACTAAAAGTGGTGCTCTAAAAGCACCACTAATGAGTTGGCACCACCTTTTTTTAAAAAAAAAAAAAAAAAAAGGCACAAAAACATTGTGGCAGTGGGTCCCACATACTGCCACATCATTAGTGGTAGCACTAATTAGTGCTCTCACTCTTTTTCTTTATTTTTTTAGGACTAAAATAGCCCCAAACCCCAACCCACCCCAACCCAACCTTACCATTCTTCCAAACAAAACCTTTGTATTTTCAATTTATTTAGATATTTTTTTTGTGTTTTTAATTAAAAAAGAATTTAAATATTTTTATTAAAAAAGAGTTTTCAACTTGAATATATTTTTAAAATTAAAAAATATAAATGTATTATTTATCTATATTTTTATTTTTAAATCTAAACTCTAAAAATAATAAATAAAAAAGATTATATATGCTAATTGATTTTTATTTTCAAAAACAAATATAGATGTAACAATGCCCCGTTTGGTAGAGCTGTGGAAAAGTGATTATAGATTATAGTTTAACAGATTATGACTTATAGCTGTGAACATAAGTTGTTAACCTGTTTGGTGCAGCTGTGGGATCATGAATTTAAGCAGCAAAGTAGTGTTGGGTTAATAAGCTGTAAAATAACTTTTTACTGTATAATTGTCCTTTCTGTCCTTATATGATATAAAAATGATTATTTTGTCATTTTTTTCAGTTTTAATTTTTTTTAAAAATATTTCATTAATAAAAGTTTAATATAATTATATCAATTAATACAAAAATTGATACATTTGCTAAAAATGTAATGGAAGTATTATTATCACAATTATTTTCCATTATAATATTAATTAGTATCAATTAATTTCTTAATTAGTATCAATTAATACTAAAAATTATTAATTAGTATCAATTAATGACTTAATTAGTCTCAATTAATATTAAATTTATTAATTAGTATAATTAATATTAATATTTAATTTTTATTAGTATCAATTAATATTAATAATCAACCATTGTTATTATTAGTATCAATTAATAATTAATTCATTACAAAAGTATACAATATTAATTTATTAATAATTAATACCAATTAAATATTGATTTTTTAATTAATATTGTAGATAATAAACTGACAGATAACTGAGGAACATATAAGACAGATGGATATATAATATTATAGTCTCAGATCCACTAATCATCTGTAATCCTTACACCATCATAATGAGTAAGGATCTTCTAGAGTGATTTTTTCCTAAAGTTTCCTAGAGTGCTACATTGTGTGGTTGAGATTTACTGGCAAGTCACATCAGAAAAATTGATGTGACTTGTCAGTAAATCTCAACCACACAATGTAGCACTCTAAGAAACTTTAAGAAAATTTCACTCTAGAGGATCCTTGGTGTATCATAATACTATCTCTGGAACCAATAAACTTTACTTTCACGTGTCAAAATAACATTTTTAAAGTGGATGGTGATGTGAAATTGGCAGATCATGGATGAGACTAAGCCATGACCATTCATTTTTAAAAATTGATTGCTACTACCAAACTTAAATGATCATGTGGTCACCATGGTCTCTCCCCACTTATATTTACTACCAAGCTTAAGTTAACCACGACCATTCATTCATTTATTTTGGTAGGAGCAATGATTGAGATTTTCATTTTTATAAAATTTTATAAAATTTTTATAAATTTGAATCATTCATAATCTAAATTTTAAACGTATATGATTTTACGTGGGCTCATCCAAAGGTCCCAAACACTACCAGAGATTTGTTGGTTGTCTAGTTTTTGGAAACAACAATGATTAAGACTTTGTTTTGTTTTTTTTGAAAATTTTCATAATTTTTTTGGATCTTTATCATTGATGGTGTGAGTTTCACACATATATAAATAGATCCTATACATACATTAATGATAAAAATCCAAAAAAAATTATGAAAATCTTCACAAAAAAAAAATTTAAAAAAATAAGATTCTCAAGTATTTTTCTTTTGAAAAACTACTTTTTGGAAGTAATTGGTGTGTCCTGACTCCCAGGCCTCAAGGTGCGTGCCCCATAAATTAAGACATCATATGAACGGAACTGTTTGTAAACTATACTTATTAAAAGTCGGAAAATGTTTGGGAATTCTAAATTGGGAGCACTAAAGGAGTTTTAGAGAGTGAATCTCATTAATTGATGTGATGTTTGGGTCTTAAATTTTTTTTTCTTTTTTTTTTTGAATTTTCACCTCATTAGTGGTCCATTAATGCTCCCAAATTAGTGGGATGTATCATTGTTGAGAAGATTTGTCAAGCAAATAAATAAATTTAAATTAAAACTTGAAGCTAGTTTAATGAATAAGTCGAATTTGAGTTTGAATAAGTTTGATATATTTATCTTTATTTACATAACAAAATAAATGCATTAGTTATATATAGTAAATAATATAAATATTTTTTTTATAAATTAAATAATATATAAATATATTATTTGTTATATTTAAATAATACAAATAATAACTAAGAAAATTATTGTCAAGTTTCGAGTTTAAGCTTAATTAATATTAATGAGCCGAGTTGAGTTAAGTTCCAGCTAGATTAGTTATCAAGGCAAATTACTTTGGATCCACAAAAATATCCTTACTGATATTGATTTAAGGACACGTGTAAAATTAAAAAAAAAATTACTAGGCAAAAGTAACAATTGATCTGGCAAAAAAAGAAAAGTAACAACCGATAAGCCCAATGTTGGCCCATAAGCACAGCCCGCCCCGCTTGCTGGGATGCCTGGGCTTAATCCGAGGATCTTGCATGTATCTATGGTAAAAACACATTAAATTTTTTTTAAATAAATTAATTAATTGACATATTGGCCTATTTTTTGTTTGGAAATTTGAAATTGAGACACCTAATCCAAATTGAAATTGCTGATGATTCAAAAATCATAGTCATGGAATTTCAAATTAAACTATCTACGCCTCAATCCAAACATAACTTCGAGTTATAAAGCTGTGAAAATGGTATCAATTTCCTTATCCTTCATTGTTGAAAGTACATCTAGTACTAATTACGTTATACATTGATGATTATGTTAGAAATCTATAAAAAAAATTTTTTTTTTTTGAAGTTCTTGTCAACATAAAGATAGCTGATCCAAAAAATGCCTATATTTTTTGTTGTGGTTGAAGGTACATTGAAGAGGAGGATCTAATGAGATTCCTAACAAGGGTTGAGATTCACACCATCTTCCCTCTCTTTGAAGGAGCCCTAGAGACTGGAAAGATCACCAAGTCTGCCTTTAGAAATTGGGTGGTATACTTTTTAACCTCTATCATCTTCTTCTCATCACATATGTTTGTATATATATGTATTTGGGAGACTTTTTCCATTAAAAAAATAAAAAATAAACACTATCGATATGTTAATTCAATGAGGAACCTAGACTTTTATACGCTATATTAGGGGTGACTTTCTCACTATTACTTGTGCATAAACACTATCTATGTGTTAAGGATTCTCTGTTTTCAAATCTCTTTGTCCTTCTATCCCCATAAACTCTCGATTGTATAATGTAATGGGGATATTGAGATACAAAAATCTCAAGACATAATTATATGATTGAGAGTGCATTAAAACAAAAAGATTTAGAGACAGTATCCGATGCCCTTTTTATGAACTAAAATCGAAATGACTCTTCACTAGTTTGATATATGCATGTCAAACCACATTAAATCCAAGCATGAAATTTAATTTTGTTACATATATGTATCTCAGCATATACATGACCAAAACAACATTCACATTCACTTTGTGAATTTGTGACTTTCCAGGTTCGAGCATACTTGGAGCGAAAAGCTCTAGCACATTCCTTGAACGACACAAAGACAGCAGTGCATCAACTTCATAAGTTAGCAAGTGCTATTGTTAGTGTTATCATAATTGTGGTGTCTCTCCTGGTGACGGGTTTGGCAACAACTAAAGTTCTACTCTTTGTCGTAACCCAGTTGGTTCTTGTGGGTTTCATGTTCCAAAACAGCTGCAAGACTGTTTTTGAGTCCATCATCTTTGTCTTTGTCATGCACCCTTTTGATATAGGCGATCGTTGTGTAATTGAAGGTGTTCAGGTACACACTCATTTCATGTTACTCGATTTTGATGGTATTCAGGTAGACACTCATTTCATTTTACTCGATTCCTCATGTCTGATTCATGAATACAATAAGGCCATGTTTGTTTGGGTGGACATGAGCTTGGGATTGGACTAATAGTCTAATAAAATTATTAATCCGATGTTTGGTTAAACAATTGAAGTACGGATTAATTATTTTAAACTTGACTATTAGTTAAGATAGGATACATAATCCAACGGATTCGTAGTCCTAGGACTATTAGTCATAGAAATGCTAATCCAGTCCGCCCAAACAAACATGGCCTAAGAGTATTTTAGTCATTTCACATTGAAATTTGGGAGGTGTCCGCCCACTGCCCTCTTCTCCCTATAATTGCCACTAGTTTGAGACAAATCATTCCAAAGTCAAAAAATTTAAACAAAAAAAAAAGGAATAGTTTTAAGTTCAAACCCGGATAAAATAATCTTATCCCAACCCTTACTTGTGAATTAAACATTGTGTAATTGTATGATCTCATATTTCCATTGATAAATTTTGTGTGTGTGTGGGTGGGGGGGTGTTCATATCTGCAGATGGTTGTGGAAGAGATGAATATATTGACCACAGTGTTCCTCCGATACGACATGGAGAAGATTTACTACCCAAATTCAGTTCTGCTCACAAAGCCGATTAGCAATTTTTACAGAAGTCCAGAGATGATCGATTTAATTGATTTCACCATCGATGTCTCCACATCCATTGACTCTATAAATGCACTCAAAACGGCCATCCAAACGTAAGCTTAAGTGTTAATATTTAATTTCTTAATTTATCAGTACCTAAATGCATGAAGCTTTTGATTTATGAATACTGTGTAGATATTTGGAGAACAAGCCAAAGCACTGGAACCCAAAACACTTGGTGATGGTGAAAGAGATTCAAGACATGAACAAGATGAAGATGTGCCTGTGTGTCCAACACACCATGAACCATCAAAACTATTTTGAACGAAATTGTCGTGTGACAGAGCTCATCCTTGAGTTGAAGAAGATCTGTGAGAACCTTGGCATCAAGTATCGTCTTCTTCCTCAGGAAATCCATCTCACCCAAGTCGATGCTGCCAACTGGAGGGCGCCGTTACAATCTTGACATGGATCTTGGTTAGGATCCCAATGCTTGACGTTAAAATGTGGCAAAATTATTGAAGCACCGTAATCTCAAGATACAATCGTGCAACTAATGCAGGCCCTTGCTGTTGTTATATATTTCAATAATGAGGGTGGATGTTGATTTCCAGTAGTTATATATGTATGAGTAAAGTTATGCAAACTAATCAACCTTATAAGGTTTTTGTTTTTCTAATTAATGTGACATCTATTAGACTATTACACTGAGTTTTGGTATCAAAATTTCATTACTGCATGTCATTTTGAAAAAATTAGAATGAATTTCACTTTTAACCGTTTTGGATAATTAAGAAAGAAAAGAAAATGTTGTGATTTTTATGTATACTTAGACTAGATATAAAAGAAAAGAGAGAGGGAGAGACAGGGCCGGTCCTAAGAATAGGTATATCATAACATGGTTTAGGACCTCTCAAAATAGACTCAGAAAATGAGTCCTCGTCTATTATAGTTTAGTGTAATATATTAAGTATATTTTAAGTTCAAAAAAAATTAAAGAAGGCCCAAACTAACTTAAAATAAATTGATTCATTAAAAAATTGAAAGGCCCATTCAAAAAAATTAGCATTATTATCTATTGACAATAGACTAAAAAAAGGGGTCCCCTCCTATTATAATTTAGTATAATATATTAAGGGCTCGTTTGGGGACTAGCCGGTTTAGCCAAAAAGTTACTAACAAAGTCAAAAAGCCAATAGCTCATACCAAAAAGTCAAAGATTCTCTTTTCTCTTTACTTTTTGCACACTTTTTTGTAAAAAGTCAAGAAGTAATCCCAAACATACTAATTTTTTTTAGCTCATATTTTCGCCAAATAGCCAAAAGTTACTAAATTAACCTATTCCCAAATGAGGCCTTAGTATGTTTTAAATCCAAAAAAAATTAAAGATTGTCCAAACTAACTTAAAATAAATTGATCCATTAAAAAATTGAAATGTCCATTTAAAATAATTAGCATTGTTATCCATTGAAATTGATTTTGCAAAAAAAACTAGATTATGTAAGTATGATTGATTTATTAGCTTTCAAAAATGCAAGAAGAGTGAGGGTCAAGCGACACTTATTAGTTATTGTAATGTAATATTAAGTATTTTTTGTGATTTTGACATAAATCTCTTGTCTTTTACCTTTAAATTTTTATTTTTTTTCATTTGATGAAAAAAAAAAATGTGAAGGGTCCCAAAAATGTATTAGTTAATTATCGACTTTAAGCCTCGAAATGTGCAGAAAAAAAATATCTCGAGGAAAACAAGTTCGAAAACACGACTGACCAATTTTCTCGATAATATTGGGCCCATTTTGGGCTTCACCATTTTCTGATCCAACAATGATACATCACTTTAAACGAAGGATCTAATGAGCTCTAATGACATAGAAAAAAAAACAAAACAAAACAAAAAAAGACATAAACATCACAAAAATGCTTGAGACAGTGTTGTTGTGCTTTTTTTTTTTTAGTGTGTGCCAACTCATTAGTGGTGCTTTAGAGCACCACTTTTAGTGGTATGTAGCATTGCTGTAGCTGTAAACATCACTATCACAGTGAGCCCCACTCCCAATTAGAGCTCTTAGAGCTCCTTTATTTGAGTTCCAAAACATTTTTGTTTATGGTCTGCCATTGTTTTTAGTAATAGACTATATAAAAAAAAGTAAATTACAAATACACTCCTGAGATTTGATTAAAATATAAATCGCCCCCCGTGATTTTGAAAATTACATTCCACCCCTTTAGGTTTCTAATTTCATAACAAATCGTCATTTTATTAATAAATCATCAAGTCAATTAACAGTTTTTAATAATGTTATAAATATGTTTCAATTAATAATTTAAGTAATTTTATTATTGTATAGAAGAACAACTATAAATTTTATTTTTTTTGTTAATTTTATTAAATAAAAATACTAATAAGAAGGTATTTGTAATTTTTCAAACCACAAGGGGCAATTTATACTTTAAACAAACCTCAGGGGTGTATTTGTAATTTACCCCAAAAAAAAAGATAAAATGGCGTTTTTTTAAGGACCAAAAAAATAATAATAATAATAATAATAATTAGCAAACTCAACTTATGCCTCATCTGGTTTAGTTTATTGAAAAAGCTTATGATTTTTTTATTTTTATTTTGAGAATGTACGTTTGAGCATTTCGTGTGACATTTTTTATTTTTTATAATTTATGAAGGAAAAATAATTAAAAATTTAAGGATTCATTAGAAATTTTTTTTCAAAGTTTTACGTATTTTTTACTTTAAAGCTCAATGTTTTAATTTTGACAAATTAAATTCTGGAGTTCTATCTGTATTTCAATTTGCTCCATTCGTCTATCTCTGTCCGTGTAAGGTAATAGAGAGTGTTTAAAATGAAAAATATTGGGGTTTGAAGTAAAAAATGTGTGAAACCTTGGCCTTTTTTGTGCAATTAACTATTTTTTAAAATTAAAATCACTAAAAATAAAAAAAAAGGTTAATTACAAAATAAACCCCAAGGTTTTATATGTTTTTCACTTTAAACCCTCTTTGTTACCTTACACAGATGGAGATGGGCTAAGGGGGAAATTTGGGGCTAGTTTGGCATGTTTGGAAAAATCCAAAAAATTAAAAAGTCAATATCCTATTTAAATCACATCATCTTATTTAAGTCATACCACCTCTTTAACACATCACTTCAAACCCAACCTATATTTCATAAAAAGTCAAAAAGTGCACTTATTTAGGCCTCGTTTGGGAACAGACTTTTTTAGTAACTTTTTGTCTTTTTAGCTAAAATGTGATGTAAAAAAAACTAGTATGTTTGGGATGATTTTTTGGCTTTTACGAAAAGATGTGCAAAAAGTAGAGAGAAAAATGAATCTTTGACTTTTTTGTATGGGTTATTGGCTTTTTTATTTTTTTAATAACTTTTTGACTTTTTGACTAAAATGAGCACTTGTCAAACGAGGCCTTAGATCATCCCAAACAACTCCTTAAACATGGATGGAACACCAGGGTTTAATTTATCGAAATTTAAATACTGGGATTTAAAGTGAAAAACACGTGAAACATTGAGTTTTTTTTTTTTTTTTGTAATTAACTCAAAATTTAATTATAAAATAAAATACTTTTAAAAGACTATACCAAAAGACCACCTTATTTTCTTGGTTTTAAAAGAGTAAAACAAGGCCATATTAGACTCTTTAGTGTATTAGGCTATCTAATAAAATAAAAACTACACCGAAAGAGGCAAAGAAGAAATTATTAGGCAAACTAATTCTAAACGAAATACTTGCCTTATTTTCCGGTTAAAAGGCCCTATACAAAAAGTTACACATTTTTATAATATTAATTATAAATTATTACGATTGTAATTATGTTATGAAATTACGAATATTAAGAAGTTCTAAACTATTATCATTTTGCTATGCATCATTTCAATAAATATATGATTTGCAAAATGTATGTCATAATCTTTCTTTTTTTTTGTTGTGCTCCTGCACCCATAGGTGGAATTCCATGCCACTGTGAGAGGTGGGAAAACAATTTTTGTAAATAAAATTTGTATATAGAATGATTTGTTAATGACAATATTCAAATAATAAGTTATTTTTATGAATTTTTAAATTTCAAATAAATGAATATAAACGTTTTCTATATAGATTTTATGAATTCATTCGTATATATCATGATTGTGGGTTTATTGTTGGGTAATTTGCTAGTATATTCATTTGTGATTCTTGCATTTTGCTAGTATGTCAGCTTATCTCTTTAAGCTTCAATGAAGATGGCACAATACCAAACCCACTCTCTATATCTATCTCCCTTTCCTTCCCCAATTTCTAAACACTATCCATCTCCTACATCTTCTATATGTTTTTGAATGGGTTTCTAATATGGGTATACAAGATATCTGATTTTTTGATTGGATTTCTAATCCTAGCCGTCTCCCTCACCTCCTTGTTGCTATTAGGTTTGAAAAAAGTTCTAATGTTGAGGATTTGAGAAGATGCTTTCTCATTTTTGAGAAAACCCTTCACCTTGCTTGTTTCTACTTTTTAAAAAATTTTACTTTTTTATTTTTCGTATTTTTTTATTTTTACTGAATTTTTTTAATATTTTAAGTAATTTTTTTACTTTTTAGACACACTTAACATAAATACACCTAAAAAGTAAAAAAAACTATAAAAAAATCTTTTAAAAATTCACTAAATACCAAAAATACAAGAATTCAGTACATTTTTTGTATTTTTATGTATTTATTAATTTTTTAAAATATTTTTTTATAATTTTTTTACTTTTTAGATACATCTAAGTAAGGTGCATCTAAAAAAGTAAAAAAAAATGTTTAAAATTTAAAAAATATTCACTAAAAACAAAAAAATACGAAAATCAAAAAAGTCAATTTTTAAAAAACTTAATCTTGAAAACTCAAACCAGACACCGTGCTTATTATTATTGTTATTAGGTTTCGTATTTGTAATTCAGCTATTATGTCACTAATTTATTACCATTCCTCTGTTTTTATTATCTAGTTTTGGCCACAAATCTCATAAACATTGTTCCCAACGTATAGAACTTCCTGTCTTATTATATTTTGTCTTCTTCACCTGTATTTTGGGAACCCATGAATAGTAAGAGTTTGATTTGTAGTTTTTTTAGATAATTTTTTTTTTAACCTAAAGGAACATTATTGAATAATTTTTTTTTTCTTTTTTTCTTTTCCAAGTGTGACTACTATTTTGGAGTTTTGAAGACAATTAGAGGCTCGAGGTTTCATGGTGATTCTCTCCCTCCCCTCCCTTCCCTTCTCTCTCTCTCTCTCTATACATATATATATATCAAATTGAAGATCAATTTTTATCTAATTTGTTTTAACTACTTTAGTGTCATGTTTTTCAATTGATCACTTAGTTTTTATGAATATGATTGTTAAAACCCTGCTTATTGAAACATTTGGGGATTTGTGTTAGTTTGAGAATTTCGATTCATCATATGCTATTATTTTAGCTTCTAATTACAGCAGAGAGCAAGCGAGCTCTTATAGTTTCATTTGATATGTTTTGTTGAGCCACTCTAGGCTTGAATGAACTAGGTTTGAAAACTGATTTTAATTACCTTTATCTGTCTATCTATTATTATTATTGGGTTCTACATTGCAGTGCTTCACCATTAGGAATGTTAGAGATGAATGTTGACCACATTTTGTGTATGTGTGTGTAGAAGTGCCCAAATGTCTGATCCTAAAAAAAATTAAAAAAAAATTGTGTGCCCATGCGTTTTCTTGATTTAGAGAATCTATCTATGTAAATCTCTATGGTTATCATTTATGTACATGACCCTTCTTAGTAATTTATAATTTATCTTAGTATTAATCTTGATTCTTTCAATTATGTTTTGTAACTAATTTTGAAACCTCAAGCTAAGTGATTGTTTTGGCAGACACAATCCTAGGTTGAAAGTATACAACTATACAAAATAATTGAAGAAAACAAAAAAGACTCGAAATATATGAAAAAACGGATTGTGATCCTCTCCATTTCATATTTGTAATGGAGAGATTCTATTGCATCATGTAACAGTGAATGTAATGATTTATCTTAATTTAAAATAATAATAAATTTGCATTCCTATTTCATAGCCATTAGATATGTAATGGAAATCTTCCATTACATATATATAAAATGGAGAGGATTAAAGTCTTGAAAAAACCTATCCATTCATTCTTCTTCTATTGGTATTATTTCGTCACACTAATTAATTACTTCATTTAGTAATTTATTTTTTAATTTTTGGGGACTAAAACGTAAGTTCTCATTCTTTCTTTGCTTGCACATGTAGCCAAGAAGAAGAGTCTAAAATCCTGGATGAAGCGCAAGGAAAATTAATCACCACGGTGTGCACAATGCTTAACAACCTTTTATTTTCCTATCTTATTGTTGTTTGTAGTCGTTGTATCCTACTTGTATCATTGCACTTCAACTCTTGAGCTAATGTAGACAAGAAAAGAGCTTGCACGGTGATGGAACACACTATCAAATGAGGACAATCACAATTTCTGAAATGTCAAGATTGAGTGCCAATGAGTAGGATAAGGTGGTTCCCTTCCGGGCAAACCTAAAAAGGTGAAACAAAATAAATTAGTAAAGAATTTCGCTAATATGGCTTATACACACACTATCTTTATCATATCTAATGACCTTTATTTGTTTTTTTTTTATTTTGTGCTATTAATTTTCAACAAAAAAATTCAAACGAATTGCATTGGAATCAATTCTTGTCATAGTACAGAGACTGAGCTTAGAACAAGAGGCAGGCAAAGAAATTGGGTTGGGTGGCTGGCCTCTTGAACATCAAATGTACAACGATTGATCACGAACTATGTCATTGGTTGGTTGAAAAATTTGATCCCCGTCTCGTGCATTGAATGTCCAACAATTTGTCATTACAGAAGCTGACCTTTCATACCTTATTGGGAATACATGACAAAGGCAACATCATAGAGTTGGAAAAGTCGTTGAAAGGATTGAAGAATCTTCGTGAAGAACTTGGGGTGGGGCATAAACACTAAAAAGATAGAAAGATTACTTGAACCAAACAGACAGGACATTTGCCTTATATATGTTGCATGCCTTTTTGTGCCCAACCACGAAGGATGCCGTCGGGGACAGAGGCACTAATGTTGTGTTTAGTTAGGAGATTTGAGGAGAGATTTGAAAAATGAAATGAAAAAAGTAGGTGAAATGTGAATAAATCATGCTTGTATTTACATAGTTTCACACACATTTTCCCTTTCTCTTTCCAAATTCTTCCCCAAATCTCCTAACCAAACACAACATAAAGGACCAGGTGGTTATATGTTCCCATGGCATTTTATTTTATTTTATTTTTTGGTCTTAGCTAAACACTAATGCATAGCCCCAAACCAAACAGTGACATTATAGAGGTGTTTGGGAAGCAAGTTCCCAAATTTTTTTCTCATTTTTTCCACTAAAAGACAAAAGTTTTGCAAAACCAAAAAAAACACATACAAACAAAATATCACATCCAACCCCATAATCATTTCACTTTTTCTCTCACAAACATCACATCCAACCACATAAAAACCCAACTATCTTCCCAAACACCAAAAATTTTTTATCTCATAAAAACCTACATCTACTAAAATCTACATAAAAACTCACTTCCCAAAGCCACATTGTGACTTTTCAATTTTTTTTTTGAAAAATGATGCAGACCACTAATTAGTGGTTGCACTAGGTATGTGGCAGTGGATCCCACCCACTGTCACATGTGTTTTGTAAAAAAATGCTTGGGAGCACTAATTAGTGCTCCCACTAATTAGGTGGCAGTGGGTCCCGCCATTAATGATGTGATGTTTTGGTCTTGGAGTTGTATTTTCGAGCGACCATTTTTTTTACTTTTTTAATGCATTAGTGCTATTAGTGGTGGTGTTTTTAGTGGGATGAATCATTGTTGTGTTTTGTATCTTAGTTTTTGGTTTTTTTTTTTTTTTTTACTTGCCACATCATTAATGGTAGAAATTTAGTGATATGTTGCATTGTTGTTGTTTTTTTTTTTTTGGATCCTAGACTCCTAGCTAAACACTGACACAGACAAACACTGATATTTCAAAAATTTTTTGGGTCCTAGATTCTTAGCTAAACACTGACACACACAAGCATTAATAAACAGTGATACAACCCCCTCCCAAAAAAAAATTCCAAAATATTTTTTTTTGGGTCCTAGATTCCCAGCAAGGGTCAATCTTTAAATAAATAAAAAAATAAAAATAAAAAATTTGTTGGGCAAGGCTTCCAACGGCAACAGGCAGGATCTCTAAAATTATAAAAGTATATGAAATTTTTTATTTTTATTTATTTATTTATAATACTTGTTAAGTGTCTCTATATTTCTTTATTTTCTTTGTCTCTTTTTGTTACTTTGTAATTTACTGACTCGCGATTCACTAGATTAGGATCACACAACACAATTTTGGGACCACACTACAATCATGGTGTCTTCTCTTCATTGTTTACAGTTAACTTTATTTATTATTTGTTACTTTTAAATAAAAATTGTGATTATTAATTTATAATTATTTGTTAAGTTTTGATTTTGTAAAAAAAAAAAATTATTTGTTATTATTTATGTTAAAATAAGAGATTTTGATATGCTAAAATTATGAATCTTGCTTGGTGGTGATTTATATTAAAATTAAGAATTTTGGTTTGTTGTTGTTTGCATTAAAATTAGGGATTTAATTTGTGCTAAAATTAAAAATATTAATTTGTGCTAATATTAATTTTTTGTGTTTAATATTAGCTCAAAAAATTATTATTATATTATTGTTATTGATTGAAAAAAAGAATTCAGATTATAATTAATAGATACCCCTATAATTAAGTGATCCTGTATTCATGCTGTTGAGAAAGATATAGTTATCAAAGTTAGGAAAGTCAACTTATGCCCCATTTGGTATAGTTGATTGAAAAATCTTATGATTTTATTTTTTTTTATGTTTTTATTTTGAGAATGTATGTTCAAGCATTTAGTGTGACACTTTTTTATATATAATTTATGAGGTAAAAATAATTAAAAATTTAACTATAAAATAAAAATACTTTTAAAAGACTATACCAAAAGACCACCTTATTTTCTTGGTTTTAAAAGAGCAAAATAAGGCCATATTAGACTGTTAGTGCATTAGGTCATCTGATCAAATAAAAACTTTACCAAAAGAGGCAAAGAGGGCCTTATTAGGCCAACTAATTTTAAATGAAGGGGAAATTACCCATAGGTCCCATGTGAAATATGTGGACACCATTTAATCCCATAACTTTTTGAGTACACCCAAAAGTCCTTTCCCCTCTCTCTCTGCTTTTTGCTTCCCTCTTTACGCCTCCTCCTCTAACCCTAATCTCAGTCCTAAAGTCAAACAAGAAGGCGATGAAGAACAAGAACAAGAAGATGATGAAGAACAAGAACAAGAAGACGCTCATCCTCAGATCTGTGCTTAGATTGAACAGATTTGTGTATATATCTTTATCAATTTCTCTCTCTTTCTCTCTCTATTTACAGTTTTTTTTGGGATAGTTGTTGATCTATGGTTGTTGTTGTTGATGATGAAATAGATCTATAATATCATTGAAACAGATCTGTAATGACTCAGATTTGTACAGATATCACACAGATTTGTAATGAGAAAATTTTCGAATTCTGAACAAGTAATTTTCGAGTTTTAGTTACAGGCGGTGAAAACTGTAAAATTTTGCAGTTTCAAATTTTTTTTTTGGTGCTGGAATGAATCATGGTTTAAAACTGTAAAATTTTGCAGTTTTATAACATTTTTTAGAACTGTAAAATTTTACAGTTTCATAACATGTTTTAAACATTCCGACGAGTCTCCAGCGATGTTGAACATTCCGACGAGTCTCCAGCGACCGTTTGACGGAAGTCCGACGGTAATAAGATGTGAACAGTGTTTGTAAATTAAAAAAAAAAAAGGATTTTTTGGTAACAATTAAAAATGTATTGGACTAATTGGTGCAAGTATTTTGTTTTGGGATTAGCTGGGTTTTGAACTTAGTACATGGGACTTATCAGTAAGTTCCCCATAAATGAAAGACTCGCCTTATTTTCTTGTGAAAAGGTCCTGTAACAAACGGTTACAAATTTTTGTAATGTTAATTATAAATTATTATGATTATGTTATGAAGAGATGTATTATTATAATAGTTTTAGTTACAAATATTATAGTTATGTTACGAATATTAAGAAGTTATAAATTATTATTGTCATGGGTAAAAATCAAACCATCTTAATTTCTAACTTGAAAAACACTTAGATAAAGGTAAATGAGGCGGCTGGAGCAACCTGAGAACCCTTTGATACTTAAGTCAGTGACAATGTAGACAAAGGTGCAAGATTCTAAGAGTAGGGTTTAGGTTGAAGTCAATGCGTACCTCAATGGTACTAATTGCTTCCCCTTTTATAGCTGGCTCCTACTAGCCGTTGTGGGTAAGGGTGAGTAACAGATATATCGATCCACCAAAACCGACCGAACTGAGCAGATCCGCCTCATTTTGGAGGGATGCGTGATGACGAGCGGACGGTTACGGATTGATTTTCTTCAATCCGCCAATATGGCAGATAGATGGCGGATTTGAGGTTCCTTTGACCGCAACCGAATCGCCAAACCGTGAGCACCCTTAGTAATTTATAAGACTTTGTGTTTTCAATTTGTTTAAATATTTTGTTTATGTTTTCAATTAAAAAAGAGTTCAAATATTCTGTTGAAAAAAAGTTTTCAACTTGAATATATTTTTTGAATTGAAAAAAATAAACGTATTATTTAACTATATTTTTTGGTTTTTAAATCTAACTCTAAAAGTAATAAATAGAAAATATGATATATGCTGGTTGGTTTTTGTTTTCAAAAACATATAAAAATGTAACAATACAGAGACATACATCTCTACTATTGCTCTGTTCATGGTTTTAGTAGTTTGAATTGTTTTTATATTTTAAGAATCACAGATTATAATACTTTATGTGAATGAGGTAATATGTAGATGAGGCATGCAGTGATTGTGATATTCAAAAGTTTCAAACTTTCTTTCTTTGGATGAGGCATGCAGTAATTGTAATATTTTTTTAAGTCATTAACTGTAATACTTTTTTTTTTTTTTAGGAAGTGCACAAGTTGAACTACGTTGAAAATTTATAAAATTTCAAACCTCCAAACAGATTCGCATCCATTTGTCAAACTGTCAATCCGCTCAATCCACATCTACTAGATTGGCGAACGGATGGCGGATTTGAGGTTCTGTGGCCACAACCGACCCACGCCCACCCCTAGTTGTAGGTTATCAGGCCTCTTCCTACTCCTCACATCAACCACATTTCTTTAGGGATTATGTTCCACCAGGTGTAGATTTCTAGGAGTTGGTTGAACTTAAGATGGAGGGACGTGCATTGACTAGGTTTGCGCCCTCCCTGGGTGTGCTTACTACCGCCTTTCTTCTGTCTTAAAATTCCCCTGATCTGGCCTAGTCCTGTGCCTAAATTATCCTGGGCTGACCTTCCATTTTGCTGGTGTTGTGACCTTTCTCTTGCTAGTCCAAGACTTTCAGTCCTGCCTCAACCTAATTTGTTTTAGCCTTCTACAATTATTATTTTGTTATACATCATTTCGATAAAGCTTTTAAAAATATATATGATTTGCAAAATGTATGTCATAATCTTTCTTATTTTTTTGTGCTCCTATACCCATGGTTGAAATTCCAACGATTTGTATAATTTGTCTATAGAATGATTTGTTAATGACAGTATCAAAATAATAAGTTATTTTTTATTTTTATTTTTTGATAAATAAAAAAAAAGTTATTTTTATGAATCTTTAAATTTAAAATGAATGAATATAAAAAATTTCTAAAGAAATTTTATGGATGACTTTGTTCATTCGTATATATCATGACTATGAGAAGTTAGGCCAAATTTGTACATATCAGCTAGCACCACCAAATATTGCAATTTTGTTTTGTAGCAAATCATAATAAAACTTCTTCAATGCATATATGCAACATGTAGGATAAGATAGAATATGTTGGGCACCACCAACCCATAAGACCTAACTAATAAATCACACACCACCATATTGTGTCCCCATTGTGTGCCCATTAGAGAAAAGGAAAGCCCCCAACTTTGACTGTTTTTTATCATGCAAATTATAATAGCTTTGATTAAAATATATGCAAGCCATTGATTACCCACATAATATTCCCATCAAAATAATTTAACACACACACATATATATATATATATATTATGTTTTTGACTTGGTGAAGGGGTAAAGTCAAACAGCATGCCTAATACTTTTTACAAATCTAAAAAACAACTTTGTAGTATCTTCAACCAACTCAAAGAGGAGAAAATTATACTTTGTGTAGTGTTTTAAATTGAATTTCATTAATTAAAATAGTGGAACTCACTATGTTTGCCTCTTTGTCCTACCATAAATGATGGGTAATAACTTTTCCTAAATATGTACACTAATGGTACATCTTATGATGGCCTTGGAAGACCAAGAGAGGTTGAGAGAATACCTTTTAAGAGAATTTGTACAACTCTAATTATATCTATCTATTTATCTATATCTATATATTATATAAGGAAAATAGGGTTTCTAATTCACAAGCGGGAGCTCCAATATCTCAATCTTAATCTTCTAATTTTTTGATTTAAAAAAACAAAAAAAACCTCAACACTTATTGACTTATCCCAAATTTTTTTGACTTCTCCCACACGCACCCTTTTCAACTTCTCTTATATCTATTTAATTATTTTGAAAATAATAATTATCTCCTCTTTTCAACTTCTCTCATACCTATTTAATTATTTTAGAAATAATAATTATCCCTTAATTCATGGATTTCAAATGGAAAGATAACAAAAATATTACATAATCTCTCTATTCTAATTTCTCTCATCGATTTCCAAAAGAAAATATTAAAACTTGTCTTCCTTTTCTATCCCTAAAAAAATCAGATAATATTTTTCATAAGAATTGTGGGTATCTATCTATATCTTATATATTATATTATAACGTAATCAAAAAAAAAATTAAAAATCAAATATACAAACAAATAAAATTAGAAAAAATTAGGCTAACATCCCTCTCCAACTTTTACTAATGGGAGAGGTACACAATATTATTTTGTGATATGTAAGGTCCCTCACGCACCTCCATATATCTCACCCACCCAATGACGACAAGCAAAGCATGCTCAGGGGTCTGACCATCATTGAAAATATCGGCTTCAAAACCACCAGTGGTGGAGTCGATGATAAGAACAACACAATCAACCTGTGAGGTACCAGTGATCATGTTCTTGATGAAATCACGACGGCTAGGAGCATCAATGACAATGCAATAGTATTTGGTGGTCTCAAACTTCCACAAAGCAATATGAATGGTAATACCACGTTCACATTCAGCCTTGAGCTTGTCCAAGACCCAGGCATACTTGAATGAACATTTGTTCATCTCAGCATCTCTCTCTCTCTCTCTCCCTCTCTTCCTCTCTCACTACTTGATCTCTATGCCGTCTCACTAAGCTTCATGCAATTTGATTTTGTCTCTCATTCTCTCTAGAGAAATTTTGAGAATTTCTCTGGCCTGAAATTTCAAAAATTTCTCTAGAGAGAATTTCTCTAGATTGAATATTCTCTAGAGGGACCTTAAATATTATGAAAATATTAGATTTCTTTTATGCTATAAAATCTCAATACTAGGGACCCTAACAAAAAAATCCCCCATGAAATTAATAAATATGATCTTTATTTATTTAGTTAAAATCTTTTTTTTGCCTCTCAATATCCAATTTTAAATTTTAAAAATCTTTATAATCTATCTAAATAAATCTAATGTGAAAATATCTTACACCATCATACTTTAAATGTGAGTTTTATTGATTTAGGTGCACGGTCATGGGTTCGATTCCCCTTTGGAACACTTTGGGATTTAAGCGGGGAGCCGCGGCGGTGGGATGCTGTGATTGCTACCCCTGAGGATTAGTCGGTGGACGCAGCCTAGCGGTAGAAGCCGGACACCTCAGTTTCAAAAAAAAAAAAAAACTTTAAATCGATAAAACTCACATGTCTATCACATATCTAACTCACATCATAACTTACTTAAATAATAATTAAAAACAAATAGAAACCATAGATAAATTAAATTAAAAAAAAATAGAAACCCACAATTCCATCTTAAATAATTTTAAAAAAAAATAGAAACCACACAAAAATAAAGAAGATAAGAATTTAGATATAGATCTCAAAAAGATATGACAATATCTAAATTTGAATTGTGATTGATAATATAATTATTTATTTTTTGATGTATATCTATCTATCAAAATTTTAAATCACTTGATGGGACAAATTAATTAATTTTCAAGTTTTTATTTAAAGAATAATCTGATTAGTCATCCCAATTCTTAGACTTCGTAGGCACTGGCGGAGGAGCTGACGAATTAGGCAGGACGAGATCTAAGTTGTTAGGGGATAATATCCTACTACTTCATAAATTTATTAATTTTATTTTTTTCCCTATGTGATTCTCTTTTTCTATTGTTGGTTTGGTTTTTGTTTCAATTTCGGTTGTAGTGAGATTTATGTGTTTGTTTACAGGTTTACATAGTGAAGAAAAATTATTGGTGATGATGGTTGCAATCGAAGTATCTATGCCCATTTTGTGTCAATGATTTTGATCGAATTTTGTTTTTTTAATGAAAATTGTAAATTGAAATAAAAAAATGGATATCGAATTTTTTATTTTTTATTGTCATTTTATTTTATAGAAAATGTGAAAATTTATTGGGAATTCAGGATTGTATTATAACATTAGATTTTTGTATAACTAGGTAAATTTAAAAATTTTAAATATCATTGGGTTTTTCATTTTTATCATTTTTCTATCCTATTATACCATTACTGTTATTTGTTAGTTTGTTAATCATAATTCCATTAATTGAAAATAATAATTATCTATGTGATTCTCTTTCTCTATTGTTGGTTTTGTTTTGGTTTCAGTTTTAGTAATATTTATGTATTTGTTTACAGGTTTACATGGTGGAGAAAAATTATTGGTGATGATGATTGCAATCGAAGTGTTTATGCCCATTTTGTGCCAAGGATTTTGATCGGATTTTTTTTTTATATAATGAAAAATGTAAAATTGAAGTAAAAAAATTCAGGATTGAACTTCCAATTTTAATTTTATGCAATTTTCACTTTTATTTTTATTCAATTTTCATTTTTATTCAATTTACTTTTCTATTCAACTTCATTTTTTTTTTAATTTCCAAATAGATCGTTAAGGTATAGTAGTTTCTTGAATGAACTTCCATTTTTAATTTTCGGCAACTTCTATTTTTATTTTTATTCTACTTCTATTTTTATTCAAGTTATTTTTCTATTCAACTTCCTTTTTTATTTAATTTCTATATAGATCGTTAAGGTATATTGGTTTCTTGAATGAACTTCCATTTTTAACATTCTGCAACTTCCATTTTTATTTTTATTTAACTTCCTTTTTTATTCAAGTTTCTTTTCCACTCAACTTCCTTTTTTATTTAATTTCCGAATAGATCGTTAAGGTATAGTGGTTTCTGAATTGAAATTCCATTTTTAATTTTATGCAACTTTCATTTTTATTTTTATTCAACTTCCATTTTTATTCAATTTACTTTTCTATTCCGCTTCCTTTTTGTATCAATGATTTTGATCGAATTTTGTTTTTTTAATGAAAATTGTAAATTGAAATAAAAAAATGGATATCGAATTTTTTATTTTTTATTGTCATTTTATTTTATAGAAAATGTGAAAATTTATTGGGAATTCAGGATTGTATTATAACATTAGATTTTTGTATAACTAGGTAAATTTAAAACTTTTAAATATCATTGGGTTTTTCATTTTTATCATTTTTCTATCCTATTATACCATTACTGCTATTTGTTAGTTTGTTAATCATAATTCAATTAATTGAAAATAATAATTATCTATGTGATTCTCTTTCTCTATTGTTGGTTTTGTTTTGGTTTCAGTTTTAGTAATATTTATGTATTTGTTTACAGGTTTACATGGTGGAGAAAAATTATTGGTGATGATGATTGCAATCGAAGTGTTTATGCCCATTTTGTGCCAAGGATTTTGATCGGATTTTTTTTTTATATAATGAAAAATGTAAAATTGAAGTAAAAAAATGGGTATTGAACTTTTTATTTTTAATTGTCATTTTATTTTATAGAAAATGTGAAAAATTATTGAGAATTCAAGATTGTACTATAATATTAGATTTTTGTATAACTACGTAAATTTAAAACTTTGTATGACTAGGTTTTTGTAAAACTTTGTATAAAAAATGTGAAACTTTTAAACTTTTAAATATCATTGTTAATTATAATTCAATTAATTGAAAATGAAAGCTTAGTATAACGTTTCATATATATTAATTAATTTGTTACTCCTATATTTGTATATAATAGCATAACATATAGGGATAATCTCCAAATATAATTTCTATTTTTTTATGTGATTAGAATAGTCCATTTCAAAATAGTATATAGAGGAGTTAGATGACTTCTTTTATCCCCAAAAAATCCAATCTATTTTTTTTTATACTTTTAAATTTTTTAAATTGAAACATCAGTTGTTTATGTTCACAAAACAAAATTAATAAACACATATCCAAAAGCAACACATTTCTTTTTCTTTTTTTTAATAGGTAGGATATTTACAAATAAAAAATGGTTGACACCTCAAATTTTTTTTCCATAATCTAACTTATAATGATGTGGTCATAAGTGTTAATTTTTATACAAATATGAGAAGAGAATTAATCAAATTATACATTTTAACTAACCACAACTTTCACTATTTGCAGATGTTATTTTACTATAATTTCAATTAAGAGAATCTTTAACCCTTAATATTTTTTTTATTGAATTATAATTTGATAAAAATTTAAAAAGATGAAGCGTTGGAAATTATTCACCATGTTTGTCATCAGTTTTTTGAAAAGACTTTTTAGAAAATTTTACTTTCTTGTTTTCCGTATTTTTTTATTTTTACTGATTTTTTATAATATTTTAAGCATTTTTTTTTTATTTTTAGACACACCTAATATAAATACATTTAAAAAGTATACTTTTCGTGAAAAAAATCTTTAAAAAATTCACTAAATATCAAAAATATAAAAAAATACAAAAATTCAGTATATTTTTCGTATTTTTGTGTATTTATTATTATTTTTAAATATATTTTCACAAATATTTTACTTTTTAGATACATCTAAGTAATGTGTATCTAAAAAAGTAAAAAAAAGAAGCTTAAAATTTGAAAAATATTCACTAAAAACAAAAAAATACGAAAAATAAAAAACTCAATTTTTAAAAAACTGAATTCAGAAAACTGAAACCAAATACACTGATTGATTTTTTCATCAAAATTGATGAAAAGAAACAAAAAATTGGGAAAAGAATGAAAATTCTTTTAAAAATTGATAAAAAAAATTAATGAAAAAGTTAAAGCAATTCATATCAAATCAAATTTTTTATTCAAATTTAAAATCAAATTAGATAAAAAAAATTAAAAGAAAATGATAAAAAGTTGAAAATATTCTAAAACCTTTTTATTTTTAAAGACTAGAAATTCGTGTGCGAATTATATTCATATTGTATTTTTATTTATGAAATTAAAACTAAAAGAAATGTAACTTGAATTATTGGATTAATAACATAAACATCATATCAATTATTGTTAAATATCATTTCACTTCACATTTAATAATAAAATTGTATATTTGTCATAATTATAACTTTTAAATTTATATATTTTCATAACAAGAGAGGTATATCATAACTCATGTAACCTCATTTAATTAGGTTTAATTTTTTTTATTACAAATTATCAAAATTGCACTAAATAGATTTATATATATTTTTTATTTTTTTTAAACTAATAATTTAAAAAGTTACAAACATAAAAATTAACTTATAAATTTCATGTATGCCATAAGACAAAATATTAATTACTTCAACATATTTATAATATATATTTTTTTAATTTATGAAGTTCCGTGCATAGCACGGGTTACCACTAGTACCTTTTAAGAGAATTTGTACAAGTTTTCAATAGATTGCAGCAAATGGCCTTCTCTTTTATTTATAGACACCTTTGGAACATTCTAGAATACACAAGAAAGAGATGTAGAAATTTCTCATTAAAGCCTTCTTACAAGTTACAAGATTTCTAGAAGTCTTTTCTAAAGGCTTCTAAAATTCTTCATAATCTCACATGTGCTAAAGTTCGCTTGGAAGTTTTGTATTTGGTGGGGAGTTCTAATCATGACTCCACACCTATATTTGAGTGTGGTATTTAGATACAATTTTTAAAAATTAATTTCACATCTACTTTTGAAAACTTGTACCAAACGAGATTTTAAATTTTGAAATTTGGCCTGCCCAATCATTCTCCCTGACG